CCTGCTGGGTCCACGCTGCGACAGAGGATTGCTCTTCTGTGGCTGGGATCTCGCCACCCCCCATACCAGGCCTGCCTGCTCCTGCCCCCCACCCCGGGTGCCCACTTTCTGTGCAGCCATCTCCTATCCCGCCCGTGAATGCTGCTGCCTCCGATCCTGGGGCGCTGTGACCCCTCAGGTCAGGCTTCTTCATGATGCCCACTCTTCGTCTCTCTCTGTCCCCCGGCTGGACCTGCACTCCCGGAGCGAGGAGGGGGCAAGTTGAGCCTCCCTTGCCCCCACGGCCTGGCACAGAAAGGTCCTCAGTGTCGGCCCTTGAGCTGGTCTAATGTGACTGCTTGGCTCCAATGCTGCTGTTGTTCAGCTGCAGAGTCGTGTCTGACTCTCTGCGACCGCATTGGACTGCCGCACGCCAGGCTCCCTGTCCTTCGTCTCTCGGTGTTTGCTCACACTCACGTCCACTGAGTTGGCGATGCCACTGTCTGCCCTCTCTAGCCCCAAACTCTGCCTGATTTTTTCAACAGACAAATTTTTAGAACCGCTTTCAATTTATAGAAAAATAGCAAAGATGGTGCAAGAGTCCCCGTATTTCCACACCCAGTTTACCCCCGTTATTAACATCTTACATCAACATGGTACATTTGTTATATTAATGAACCAGCATGAATACATTAGTAACTAATGCCCACCGTTTATTCCAGTTTCCTTAGGGTTTAGCAGATGTACTTTTTCTGGTCCTATCTAGGATCCCACATGCCGTTAGTCATTCTGTCTCCTTAGCTCCTCTGGGAGTGACAGTTTCTTAGACTTGCGTTGTTTTGGATGACCGTGTTGGTTTTGAGGAGGGCTGGGCAGGGGTTTTGGAGGATGTCTTCCTATTAGGTTTAGTCTGATGTTTTTCTCAGAGTCATGGGTTTGGGGCGGGAGACCACAGAGGTGAAGTTCCCTCATCTCATCCCACCAGGACACGTGTGACAACATGACTGATCCTGTAATGTTGACCTTGGTCACCTGGCCGAGCTGTGCCTGTTAGGCTTCTCCACTGTATCCTGACTTGTGTGTGTGTGTACCTCCAACCCTTCGCAAGCCCATGGGGTGTAGCCTTGCCAGCTCCTCTGTCCATGGAATTCTCTAGGCAAGAGTATTGGGGTAGGTTGCCATTTCCTGACCCAGGAATCGAACGTCTCTCGAGTCTCCTACGTTGGCAGGTAGACTCTTTACCTCTGTGCCACCCATGCTTCCCTGGTGGGTTAGAGGGTAAAGAAACTGCCCCCAGTGTGGGAGATCTGGGTTCGATCCCTGGGTCGGGAAGATCCCCTGGAGAAGGAAATAGCAACCCACTCCAGTATTTTTGCCTGGAGAAGTTCATGGACAGAGGAGCCGGGCAGGCTACAGTCTGTGGGGTCGCAAAGACTCGTTCACAACTGAATGACTAACACACTGTTCTGACCTATTTTTCTCCATAACATCAATCATAACTCGACATGTGCATTTGTTTGTCTTTTAATGTCTGATTGGAAGGTAAGATCCTCAAGGATAAAGTCCTCACCTTATTCATTCCCAGAGCCCGGCACACAGTAGGTGCTCAGTAAGTTAACCATGTCTTCCTATTAGGTTTAGTCTGATGTTTTTCTCAGAGTCATGGGTTTGGGGCGGGAGACCACAGAGGTGAAGTTCCCTCATCTCATCCCACCAGGACACGTGTGACAACATGACTGATCCTGTAATGTTGACCTTGGTCACCTGGCCGAGCTGTGCCTGTTAGGCTTCTCCACTGTATCCTGACTTGTGTGTGTGTGTACCTCCAACCCTTCGCAAGCCCATGGGGTGTAGCCTTGCCAGCTCCTCTGTCCATGGAATTCTCTAGGCAAGAGTATTGGGGTAGGTTGCCATTTCCTGACCCAGGAATCGAACGTCTCTCGAGTCTCCTACGTTGGCAGGTAGACTCTTTACCTCTGTGCCACCCATGCTTCCCTGGTGGGTTAGAGGGTAAAGAAACTGCCCCCAGTGTGGGAGATCTGGGTTCGATCCCTGGGTCGGGAAGATCCCCTGGAGAAGGAAATAGCAACCCACTCCAGTATTTTTGCCTGGAGAAGTTCATGGACAGAGGAGCCGGGCAGGCTACAGTCTGTGGGGTCGCAAAGACTCGTTCACAACTGAATGACTAACACACTGTTCTGACCTATTTTTCTCCGTAACATCAATCATAACTCGACATGTGCATTTGTTTGTCTTTTAATGTCTGATTGGAAGGTAAGATCCTCAAGGATAAAGTCCTCACCTTATTCATTCCCAGAGCCCGGCACACAGTAGGTGCTCAGTAAGTTAACCAGTGAACTCAGTGCCAGGTGGTGAGCGCTGGGTGCTGGAGGCAGAGCCACACACAAGAGGTCACAGTTTCTGCCCTCACGGAGCTTCAAGTCCAGCAGGCAGGTAGTCACAAATGAAGTTGTGTTCTCACTGCAGACGTGAACAGGTGTGGGGAAAGGCCCTTGAGTGCAGCGAGAGCCTTGTTGGGGAATGTGGCCTGGGTGGGGTGTGGGGGGAAGCTCAGAGGATGATAACGGAGCTTGAGACCTGATGGATGAGTGAGAGTGGCCAGACAGTGATGGAGGCGGGAGGAGGTGTGTTCAGGCTGCCAGGATTAGCACGTGCAAAAGCCCGGGGCAGAGAGGAGCTTGGGGGTCTGAAGAGCACCAGCGAGGAGGCAGCGTGCTTGGCCGGTGGGGCTGTGGCAATGGCCCGGGGAGGTGGTTTGGATGAGGGCGGTGGGAGAGGAGATGATGGGAAGTGGATGCAGTCAGGAAGTGGGATGAAGGGATGAAAGGGTGGAATCCAGGCTCCTGAAGCTGGAGGACGGTATCCTGTTTGCTTCTCAGATAAGGAGGAGATTTGGGAGTCGGTGGGGACGGGCAGCACATTCAGACAGAGATGCTTATGAAACACGCTAGCAGGAGGATGGGGCAGAGATGGGGCTGGACCGTTAGGGGGTTACTGGGACCAGGAGAGAGGCATTGGACTTCACGGAATGGCATGAACCAGCCTTGGAGGAGAGTGGAGAGGAGCTGTCCAGGGCGATTTCCTTTGAAGGTGTCATGGGGACCCCCCCAAACACACACACACACACACATATACGCAAGGACACTGAGAAGGTGGTCAAAGAGGAGGTGGGAGCTGCCTGATGGGAGAAGGATGCTGGAGGCTGGGAGAGAAGGCCGCTGGGCGGGGATGTCCGGCTCCCAGGCTGATGCTCCCTCCCTGAAGAAGACGGACAGAGGAGGGCTGCAGCGTGGGGCCACCTGCCTCCCACCCACCCTGCTGGGGTGGCTTCGGCAGAACCAGGATGCCGCGGGCCTGCTCACCTCTTTCTTCCTCCAGTCCTCCCTTTAATTTACACTTACTTCTATTCATGGGATTGTGTGTCTGATTTAATATTTCCGAGTTAGAGGGAAAATAGAACATACTCCACAGAAATTTGCTTTGTGGCCGGTTTTGCAGGTGGCATGGTATCAGAGGGTGACAGAGGACAGTCTAGGCTGGATTTGTGTCCTTTTCGTTTATCTCCGAGAGGACCAATCAGTGCCCATCTCCAGGAGGTCATTGGGACCAATTAGACAGTTTTATTGGTTTTGCTCCACAGGGAAGCTGCGGTTTACATACATTTTTGATCAAATCTGTTCAGGGCATTGCTTTCATTTTGAGAAGTGCCTTAAGCAGCGTTGGCCAAATGAGATTCTGTTCAGTGAGAACCCTGTGTCTCCATAGATATCTTTGCAATTGAAACTGTCTTCTTTTATGATATATTAAACTTTCTGAATTGAAGGCAAACTTGTTGAGAAAAGGCTGGTCTAGAGAAATGAACACGTGTGTCCACGTAAAGCTTGCACGCCCGTGTTCATTGTAGCTCAGCTGACACCAGGCCCAAAGGGGCAACAACCCGAATCTCCATCACCTGGTGAATGAATCCGGAAAGTGTGTCTCTCTGTGCAACGGACTGTGACTCAGCCCTAAGAAGGAGCGAGCGCCTGGCATGTGCCACAACGCGGGTGAACCTTGAAAACATCGTGCTAAGGGAAAGAAGGAAATGGCAACCCACTCCAGTGTTCTTGCCTGGAGAAGCCCAGGGACGGAGGAGCCTGGTGGGCTGCTGTCCATGGGGTCATACAGAGTCAGACACGACTGAAGCGACTTAGCAGCAGCAACAGCGAGGGAGAGAAGCCCGACATGAAAGATCACATGTGATGCGGTTCCCATTCACATGAAGCATCCAGAACAGGCAAAACCCTTGAGAGAACAGTTTTGTGGTTGGCAGGAGCAGGTCGGGGTGTGCAGAATGAGGAATGAGTGCTGATGGTACGAGGTTTCCTTTGGATGAAACTGTCCTTCTGAGGGTGATGTTACCGTTGTACAACTTTGTGAGTCTCCTGACAACCGCCGAATCGCACGTTTAGAAGGGTGCGTTGTGTGGAGCATGGATTCCATCTCCGTAAAGCCTTAGAAAAGTAGTGTGGCCCTGGGAGCCAGTTCTCAGAGCCGTAAGTAGCGGCCACTCGGGATCCCCTTCTCTGTGTAGCTTTAGGTTCTCGTTTGATGCGGATGTTAAGGGCAGAACGGGTGTGGACATTTTACTGCTCACTGTCCTGCCTTGTGCCATGGCGGGGGGTGGAGGGGGCTGTGTTACTGATGTTTCCTCATTTGCTCCCCTCGCCTCCCATGTTGTGGTGAACACCATCATCTCCTTTGGCTGAGTTTTCGCACGCACTGAAGTCCCCCTCCAGGAGGCAGGCAGTTTCCCCCGGGTGCCCCGCTCCGCCCGGCCCCTGTGAATCCCACAAGACCCCCGGCAGTCCGGGGGGCGGAGGTGCAGAGAGCAGCTTGCCTCTCCCCTGGGACTCGCCCGGCCCCTGCCCTGGGGGCGTCGCCCCCTCTGCACGCGCTCTGGTCACCGCCTGGTTCTCCAGGCACCGGCGAGCGAGGCCGTAATGCCTGTTCTCCCACAGGTCCTCATCGACTGGATCAACGACGTGCTGGTGGAGGAGAGGATCATCGTGAAGCAGCTGGAGGAGGACCTGTACGATGGGCAGGTGCTGCAGAAGCTGCTGGGTGAGTCCCCGGGAGGGGCGGCCCCGGAGCTGGGCCATGCCACGCTCTATGTGGCGACATCGGGGCCTGAGCCCTCGGCTCCCAGTGGCGAACCCCTGGGCCGCAGCTTCGATTGGGCTCCAGGTCCCCTCTCTCGGGTCCCCGTGAGGGTGGCCTGGAGGACTCCGTGTCCCCTTGCCCGTTGGGGTAACTCGTCTCCTGGCGGCCCCTCCCGGCCCTGGAGGGTGCAGACCTGCTCACACTCTGCTCACACTCCTTACCCTTTAGTGACCCACAGACACGTGCCGTCCTGCGCAGGGGTCTCCCCGCAGACCCGCTGAAGGGGCCCTCCTTCCAGGGGGGCCAGCACTGGGGTGGGGGTCGCGTTTTGCTCCGCAGGCCTGTGCTGGGGGCGGGGGTGGGGTCTGAGTCCAGCACCTGGGATTTAGGGGGTGCCTTTGGTGGGAGAGATGCGGAGGGACAGCAGACCGATGGGGAGGGGCTGACCCCGGACCCGCAGGACGCAGCCTCTGCAGCTGCCCCGGTTGTGGGCTCGGCTCAGCCTCTGCGTCCTTCCTCGAGCCCGGTCCCCGTGGGCTGGTTTGCGCACTCGGCACGGCAGTACTTACAGACGGTGTGATCTCGGGGGGAGCCCGGGAGGGGGAGGCTCTGAGGATGTCACGTCCCCGGCTCTGAGGATGTGACGTTGTCCTTGTTCGGTTAGTCCTTGGGAAGCACGTGAGGAAGGAGAAGCTGTGTTTTTTCTGGTCGTTCCTTCGTTTGCTGAAAGATGAGATCGGAGTTTGTGCTTTAAAAGGTCGCTTGGGCTTCTGGGTGCAGAACAGCAGGGAGCAGGGTCAGGAGGGGGAGATGGGGGGCGTCAGTCGGAGCGCCGTCACAGCTCCCTGGGCATTGGATGGGGTGGCTCGGTGTGGGATGAAAGCGGAGGATATTTTGGAGGTTAAAGCTGCCAGAGGCAAGAAGCTGATGGCCAGGATTGTGGCCTGAGCAACCAGTGAATGAGAAGGCCCTCCGGAGTAGTGAGGGGAGCGGGGATAGGGAGGCCAGTGTGCCCTCTGCCCTGGCTGAGATGCCCATCCTGCCCAGGCCAGCTGTGGGGAGAGGCTGGAGGTGGGCAGGGCAGAGATGGTTGATATTGTGGGACCGGGTGGCCCCACCCGCAGGGAGTGTCCAAATTCAGTGTTTGGCTGAACACCCCGCACCAAGAATTTAACCTCTGTTTGGCTAAGCAGAGAGCCCACATCTTAGAATGAACTTCTTTGGTGTAAGAGCACATCTGAAATGTTGTCAAGATTGTTTAGTCAGTGTCACAATTTGATTATTAGAAATGTTGGTTGGAGCTTTGTTGTTTCATATTGTATCGTCGATACAGCGGTTCTCGGGGCTGTCGGGTTCTAGATTGCTCTCCAGGCTGTTGAAATGGACACTTGTGATGATAGACGGTTACTTTCAGCAGCGAAGGACGGAGGAGGGCGTGGGTCTTGGGCTGACTGCACAAGGATCGTACTGGTGGTGAAGCTGCCCGAGGTCATCAGCTTCCTTCTTCCCTTCTCTATGTAAAGCCCTAGCTTCCCCCCGACTCCTGGACTTGAAGACTTGGCTGCTGCTTTATTGGTGGAAGACTTGGTGATGCTGCTGCTTTATTGAAACAGTCCTTTGAACCGCTGCTTTATTCACTGCCAAAAGGAGATACTTTCTAATATTTTCAGAAGCAAACATAAAAGTGTGGTGCTTACTCACTCTTTTATTTCTGATTCTTTTTGCATGCAGCCATGGCTTCACTCACCCAGCCACTTGAAAAAATTGTGTCCCTAAGCCTTAGATCTAGTGATGTGATCCTGGGAGTCTGGCTCTCAAGGTGCCTCTGCATCTCAGCCGTAGATGCTGGTAAAGGATGCCAGCACCCTCCTTGGAGTAGGGCCACAGCCGCATCTGAGAGCAGGTAACCTGTAAGAAGTCCTCATCTGCTCAAGGCACACCCTTTGGGTCCCCTCTGCAGTTGGTCTCAGCAAATGCAGGACTTGCTCCAAAGTGGCTGTGGTTGTCCGTGAGTCCTGCTACGTCCATTTTGTTATCTGTAATGTATGACAAGAGGTCGGCATTGGCTCCGGCAGCCTTTTTATTCCAAAGTAGCTGCAGTTCCATCCTGTCTGACTGTCTTGCATAAGTACTCCTTGATAAGGTAGTTCTAAAATCTCTTATGTGTCAAGTGGTTTGACATCCCACTTTGTTTGAAGAAGAGAACAATGGAGGAGACTATCCAGATACTAACGGAACTTCACAAGGTCTTGCCGGGTCGTGTTAATGATGCTGTCGCACTGATGAGGTTCTGTCATAACCAACGGGCTCACATGACCCTGGGGCCCCGGGCTGCCAGCAGCGACACTGATGGAGGTACTGAGCTCCTTGCTTTCCAAAGACAGAAAGCTGAAACTTGACATGGGCTGAATGTCAAGGCCAAAACCTGATTTCTGGGCTTGGTAAAGAAGCCGCCTGCAATGTGAGAGACCTGGGTTCGATCCCTGGCTTGGGAAGATCCCCTGGAGAAGGGAAAGGCTACCCACTCCTGTATTCTGACCTGGAGAATTCCATGGACTGTATAACCCATGGGGTCACAAAGAGTGGGAGACGATTGAGCGACTTTCACTCACTCTGTAGAGAGAAGAGGTCTGGGGACAGGGCCTCGGTGGGGCATGGTCAGGGGTCAGAGGAGGGCCCAGGACAGGATTCTGAAGGCTCCAGCCAGGAGGGAGGAGGAACCAGGGGGAGGGATAGAGGAGGAGGAGGGGGCTGAGGACAGAGAGCAGACCGTGGGTTTGACCAGCTGTGGTCACCACTCGGCCCGACGCGTCCCTCTCCCCAAGAGTGGATCCCGGGAGCAGCTGCCAGACCGTCTGCCAGGGCAGGTTCCCGGGGTGTGGCATTCCTGATGGGCAGTGTTGTCCGGGGACCACCTGTGGGCAGGGAGGGGGGCCCCCGGGCTGGCTGCCGTCCTGCTCGGACTCAGGCTCTCCCTTCTCCTGGAGAAAAGGCAGGCGCCTCCTCCTGTAATAAGTATTCAGAGCCACATATTCACCATGTTTTCCTGCCCCCTGGAGGGTCCGCCCCGTCTTCCTCTGCCTCTTCCCAGGCTCGGGAGAGAGGGGTCCTGGCTGTGCCAAAGCCTGAGCCTCTCCTGCAAGCCCCATCAGTGGGCAGATGGATGCGGGTGATACGGGCAGCCACGGACCTCTTCTCTCCCACCTGGGGGTGTTTCCTGAGACATGGCTGCAGGCAGCATCAGGCTCGACTGATCGCTTTGTTTTCTGTTATCGACTGAGCTATGTCCCCCGTGAAGTCATAAGACCTCAGAATGGGACTGTATTTGGAGACAGCATCTTTGTAGTTAAAATGAGGTCACTGGGGTGGGCCCTAAACCCTTCAGACTGGTGTTCTTTTAAGAAGAGGAGATGAGGATGCAGACACACACAGAGGGAAGGCCACGTGAGGATGTCGGCAAGCCGAGATCCTTGAGAAGCCTCAGAGGAGTCTGACTCTGCTGACACCTAGATCTTGGACTTCTAGCCTCCGGGACGGCGTGGAAGTAATTTCCATGTTTAAGACACTCATCCCGCAGTGCCTTGTGACGGCAGCTCTAGCAGGCTCCTGCCCTTCCCTCCCCTTGTCCATCAACGGCCTCTCCTCCCCCGGGACGTTCCTTCTGCAGCTTTGGCTGGAAGGGACCTCAGGGACATGCCTGGCTCCCCGTCTCTCCCCGGTGGGCGAGGCTCTCTGACCACCTGGCTCTCTACAGCCCTGCTTCCTTCCCCAGGGGCCTCTGTTCCGTCCTGTCCCTGGCTGTTGAGCACCTGGGGACATTCTTTGTATTTTCAGCGGGGCTGGGGGGCTCATATGAACAGCTTGGAGGAGGAAACGGCAACCCACTCCAGTATTCTTGCTGGGAAAATCCCGTGGACAGAAGACCCTGGCGGGCTACAGCCTGGCGGAGTCCATGGGGGTCACAGAGAGTCGGACACGACAGAGCAAGTGAGCACGCATGTGGACAGACAGCTGTGGGTTATTCAGCTCAGACCTATTAGATAGAGATGGGGGGGGAAGAAAACGCGTAAACGGGAATCACCTCCGTCCTCTCTTGAGCTGCCTTGTTTTGCCTCTGTCACAGCCTACCCTACACGAGCCGATGCCCTTCAGGTGTGGCTGACTGCCCTGTGACACCCCCCCCCCCCC